GCTTTATATTGAAGCCTTTTGCAAGTAATTGACATACACTTATCAAGTTACTTGTCATAGAAGGTACATATATCACTTCAGTGATAGTGGCCTTTTGACCATCCTTCCTGAAAATCGAAATATCTCATTTACCACCTGATTTGATGTGCCTACCATCTGAAAATTTTATAACCTTTTTGACTGACTCATCTAACTTGATAAACCAATTTTTATTGCCAGTCATGTGGTTGATGCATCCTGAATCTATATACCACTTGTTGTTTATCTCAATGTTCGACTGCGTGTTCACCATCAACAACACATCATCAGAATCACTATCTCCAGCTCGTGCATATTGAGCTTCATCACTATCTTTCGCCCTCACAGCTTTCTTTCTTCGACAGTCTTTAGCATAGTGACCAAAACCTTGACAATTGTAACACTGCACCTCTTTCGTGTCAACTTTCTTTCCATAATACTTGTTGACCACACCTTTCTTAATCGAATCATTATTCTTGCTTGACTTCTTATCACTAGCAAGATTCTTCCGCTGCTTCAACTTCTCTTTTCCAACTTTCTTGTTGAATCTTGATTGCAAGCCAGTTCAACCACATTTTCTCTTTCTGAGTTTCTCTGCTTCAACCTTATCTCATGAGCCTCTAATGAAGCTTAAAGTTCTTCCAAATTCATCTCAAATAGAGTCTTGGCCTCTTTAATTGTCACTACAATGTAGTCAAAATCTACAGTTAAAGATCTTAACACTTTCTCAATCTTCTGCAGATCCGTAACCGATTCACCACATGCCTTCATCTGGTTTGTTAGCGTCACAATTCTTGAGAAATATACAGAAATTGACTCATCTTCTTGCATCTAAAGCATCTCGTATTGCTTCCTTAGCGTCTGCAACTTCACATTCTTCAATTTCTCATCTCCACCATACAAGTTCTTTAACTTGTCCCACATTCCTTTTTTCGTTTCTTCTTCAATTGTCTTCTCAAATACATGAGAATCCACACGCTGATTAATCAAGAATAAAGCTTTATCGTCTTTCTTTCTTTAATTGTTGTGCGCAGTTTTCTGAGCTTCCGTCGCATTTGTTTCCAATTTTGATACTCAACCATTCAAGATTTCAACAACATCTTGAAATCTGAAGATAACCTTCATCTGTGCAACCCACCGTTGCTAGTTTTCACCTTTGAAAACTGCTAGATTCGCTGAAAATTGTGTTGATGTTGTTGTTCCGTTTGCCGTTAGATTCTCTCTGAGTTGCAACTGAGCTCTATTATACTAATTTGTTGGAACAAAGGATTTTCAAGAAAGATGATTTATGAAAGAGGAAGAGAAGAAGAAAGAGAGAGAGGTTGAAAGTTTGTTGTGATTCTAACTGAATTGTAAAAATATGTTATTGATTACGCTTATGATTACAAACTCAGTCGCCCTTTATATAGGCAAACAATGCTCAGACCCAATTAGACAAAACACGTTAATACCCAAAATATGATTTCGACATACTTTAATATTGTTGTATTCTACTCTATCGAATATAGCTTACAACACACTCCACTAACTATTCGACATACACCATACTCATGTATTTTGACAGAATAAGAATTTTAACTTCTAACAAAATTAACTTTATCAGTCATCATCTATAAACTATCAACTATCAATTATTAGTTATAAGATATTAGCTATCAGCTACCAGATACCTTTACCAAAGAAAACCTAAAACATGTCATATTTTTTTATAGGAACCTAAAACTTTTTAATTTATTTATATTACAAATAGGTCTTAAAAAAATTCACAAATATAAAATCATTCAATTCTATATTAGCAAAAATAGTCAAAACTCATTTGTTTACTAAAAATTAATGAATTTATTAATTAAGTAATCAACAATTTATTACAGCATAAATGAAATTAAATTCTAATGGAGCATTAATTTAGTTAGGATAAATTTATTATTCAATATTTAACGGAAAAAATAACTACACTCGTGAGTTTATTATAAATAGATTTTATTCTCCTTGCAATTTAAAAGTAGATATTTAACCAATAATTAAAATAACGAATTTATTTGGAGTAAAAAGTTTTACACGGTAAGTTTATCACAATGTTAATTCATTAAAAATATTTAGTTTTTATTTTAATTTCTTTTAAATAATATTCCACTCTGAACTTCTAATATTCCACTCTGAACTTGATTCCTCGGAAAGTGATATTTAGTCTCAATATGTTTGCTTCTCCCATGCAACATTGGGTTCTTGGCAAGATTGATTGCAGACTTGTTATCAATCATCAGCTTCTGAGGTTTGTCTAACTCAATCTTTAGATCTTGCAGCAAATTCAGAATCCACACAGCTTGACATGCAGTCATAGCTCCTGCAATATATTTAGCTTCACATGTTGACAGCACAACAACAGGTTGCTTCTTGGAACACCAAGAAATAGGACCTCCCAGAAATTTGAATAAGTATCCAGAAATACTTCTTCTGTCAACTCTGTCTCCACACCAATCAGAGTCTGAATAACTCATAAATTTTGATTCGATCTTTCTTACAGAAGGAAATAACACTATATACTTCAGAGTTCCCTTCGCATACCTCAGAATCCTGACAGCAGCTTGGTAATGAGACCATTTTGGTTTACTCATAAATCTGCTAATTATTTCAACTGCATAACAAATATCAGGTCTGGTATTACACAAATACCTCAGAGAACCAACCAACAGGTTGAAGGTTGTAGCATCCACATCCTCTCCATTAGAATCAGATTCCAACTTTTGATTTGTATCAGCAGATGTGATAGCAACTTTGCAGTTCTCTAGATCAAATCTCTTCAGAAACTCAAGTTCATACTTCATCTGATGCAAAATGATTCCTTTTTCAGAGTACATAAATTCCATCCCTAGAAAGAAACTCATTTTCCCAAGATCTATCATCTCAAACGCATTTATCATAACCTTCTTGAACTTAACTATCTCTTGTTCAAAACTTCATGTGAGTAATATGTCATCAACATACAAACATACCAGATTCATATTACCTTATGAAGTGTGTTGAACATAAACACCATACTTCATCTCACACTTCTGAAACCCTTGTCCCTTGAAAAATGAATCAATCTTCAGATTCCAGGCTCTGGGAGCTTGCTTCAATCCATACAAGGCTTTGTGTAATTTGAACACCATCCCTTCCTAATTCTTTTTCTCAAATCTAGGAGGTTGTGACACGTATACCTCTTCTTGTAATGGACCTTTCAGAAATGCAGATTTTACATCTAAATGCATCAGAGGCCAATTCATGTTAGAGGCTATTGCAATCACTAGTCTGATTGTTTCATGTCTCGCTACAGATGAAAACACTTCAAAGTAATCTAATCCAGGCTTCTGTAGAAAGCCTCTTGCTACTAATCTTGCTTTGTGTTTTCCAATTGATCCATCTGGCTTTAGCTTCTGCTTGAAAACCCATCTAACGCTGATTGCTTTCTTGCCTTTTAGAAGTTCAGTCAGCTTCCAAGTCTTGTTTCTCTCTATAGAATCAAGTTCTTCTTTCATGGCCTGCAACCAGACTTGATGCTTAAGAGCCTCTTCTGTACTCACAGGTTCAGAGTCTACTAACATTGCACACTGAATAAATTCTCCATCGGAGTCTACTTCAGTATCTTGTAACATGTCAAACTCTGTAAATCTTCTTAGGATGCTTCTGACTCTTTGTTGCTTCTGAATTTGAACTTCAGAACCTCGAACACCAGAATTTTCCCCTTCAGAAGCTCTTGCTTCAGAAATTGGACTTTCTCCAGAACCTTGACTGTCTTCAGAGTCTGGAAAATTCCCAGAGCCTGAATCACCGTCGAAGTCAGAGTCAGAATTATCTTCACCTTCTGAATCTCCTTCAGAGTCAGAGTCTTTACCAACTTCAGAAACATGTGTTTCTGACTTTTCTTCAATTGTTCTCTCATCAGAGTCAGGATGAGAACTTTCCCAATTCTAGACTTCTGATTCTTTTACAATGACGTCTCTGCTGAACTCAACTTTGTTAGTTTCTGGACAATAAAGTTTGTACGGACCTGTACTGTGGTACCCCACCAGTAACATTACTTTACTTCTATCATTCAGATTCTGTCTTCTGGCTTCTGGGACATGTTTGTAACATACAGAACCAAACACCTTCAGATGACTAACACTTTGCTTATCTCAAGTCCACTTTTGAATAGGAACTATTTAATTCAGCTTCTTCGTTGGACATCTGTTGAGCATATAACACGCAGTGGCAACAACTTCTCCCGAAAAAGTATGAGGAAGCTTCTTATCTTTCAACATGCTTCTCACCATATCAAGCAAAGTACAGTTTCTTCTTTCGCAAGACCATTGTGACGAGGAGTATATGGAACAGTAACCTCATGCTCAATTCTATTCTCCTCACATATATTAATTATAAATTTATATAAAAAATATTTTATTTATTCTTTTTAAATTTTAAATATATTATAAAAATCAGTAAAAGTAATTGTTTGTGAACACTAAAATTTATCATGTAAACCTTCAAGAAATACATTGTGTATTCAAGGTTCGTGAAATATTAATATGCTGACAAATGAAAGATACAAGGTGATGCATAGATACAAGGAGTAGGTTGCCAACCTTCAATCTCATTTCAAACAATATTTAAATAAATGAAATGGTGTAAAAAAATACGTTCAATTATCTTAGAGAATAATGTCGCAAGATGATATGAGAATCTAAAAAAACCTTGTTTACAGCAACTAACATGTTTAGTTACTGGATGACTTATACAACAAAATACCTAAAATATAATAGACTGGCATAACTAATACTACGGGGATTCATTAGAGTCGTCTCAAATTTTTAGAAGCTCTTTTAACAATGAGAGAACAAATAATTTGTGATGCTTTTCTTAGCCACATATAAATATTGTGGACTATTTGCGGTTGTCAGCGCTGCACGCTCTCAAAAATTGTCTTGACTTTAATGTTTGTTTTCAACTATAGAATAAATATTTTATAAGTAACCACAATCATTAGAAAGCAACGATTTCACATACTTCTGTAGCTTTGAAGGAGTATTGCCATCATAACTATACATCACAGGTACCATCCTTGCAGCATTGAGACAAAGTTTAGTAAAAGATGAAGGTAACTCATTTGTGTTCAAACATTCTTTGTTGAGTTGTTTCCATGCATCTGAAATTTGTTTCCTTATATGTTCTCTTGTTTGTCCAATGCTAACTCTTGGGTTATCCTTCATGTAACACTTTGAATATGATCCATCATTGCCATCACAATTAACATCCTGCGATAATTGTTTCAACTTTTTTAATCCTTCTGTTTCATAATAATTGATCTATTTATATAATAAAAAACGCGAATCTCTTCTACCTTATCACCTTCGAGATCATCACAAAGTCGTAGGATTGTTGCAGTTGTAGATATGATGGTTGGGAAGTCGTCAATTATAGAAACAGTTTTGTCAGTTATATTTTGGCCCATGTAAAAGAAAGCATGAACAAGGATCACATGCACACCAGTGCTCACTATTGCATTCTTCAAATACTCCTCCGATGTTGGAACATGCCCGGAAGCAAACCATTTTGCTTCTTGCAGAAATGCATTCAAGAGTTTTATCCACTGTAATTAAGAATCAAGTTAAGCACAAATAGTTGTAGAAGATAGCATGATACACATAGGATTAATGCATTTATTACGAAACAATGAGATTAGTTTTTTTGCGTACCGATTTTATCAATGAACTTATAGGATTCCATCCTGTTTTAAGATGTGTCCTAAGTGCAAATTCATTGGTTGTGTCATAGAGAGCCTTAAAACATGCTTTCATGCAGTCTGGTAATTGTTCAATGGCTGCCAGATCCCATCTACGTCCAAAAAAACAAATAAATTCATGCTACATATTATTAAATAAATCAATAGTAAGTGAGAATTATTCACACCATTAATTACCTCTTAACAGCATATGTAAATAGAGTGAGTTGATCAACGTTTCCATAAATATCAAATAAATCATCAATGATGTAGATTAGAGATAAAGGCTTTGTGAGCTCGACCCTTTCGTCTGAGAGACGTGGATCTGGAAGGCACGCCATAGTCCACATGTACCATTTAATCGGTTCATCTCTAGCAAATTCCAAGTCCTTTGACAAACCTAAGTCTTTCCACCACCTACATAGTATATGCCATGATTAAGTCAATGTTGTACTCATTAATCTTTATTAGTGTAATTTTTTCAAAGTTAAATAGGACTCACTTGGAAACTGCAAAAATTTCCTTGAGATGTAGAGAGGAAACCATTTGAGTGTCAATTTTGGAAAGTCGTTGTAAAGAATTTGTCCATGTTACATTTTGTGATTGAATTATTGTTGGTGTGAATCTTGACAAAGTTTTATGAATAGGACACATCAATGTTTGTGCAATAAAATTCACTTGAGCATGGTCATGAAACGTCGAAGACCACTCATTAAGATACTCGCGGCAGAACTGTCCTGCACTTTCAAGATAATCTTCTCCTTGTATGCTTAATTGAGAGGCTTCAAACAATGCAATTAAACCGTTTATATCCTTATAAAATGTATCCTTGAGTTTGCCTCTGTTGTCCCAGAAAATATCAAATATGTCTGTAAAATGCATCAAAATAGTTATAACCATGATAAATTAATTAGACACATAACTGCGACTTTTCGGATTCCAACTTTGGACAGGATGTCCAGATTTACCCGGATTTTATATAGTTGGTAAAATTACACTCATACCAATAGATTTTAAAGACTTTCCGTTAAAATGACACTAACATTCTCCTTTAATTTTAAAAAATGCATTAATCCTATTTAAATTTACACATACCAATAGATATTTTTAATGACATAAAAACTGTAGATAATTATTATATATATATATATATATATATATATATATATATATATATATATATATATATATATATATATATATATATATATATATACTCAGAAAAATGTGAGTATAATTTGTATAATTTCCCTTTGATATTTAATTATTAGTTTAAACCAATATGTTAACTAACCTGGGCGAATGTAATATCCTTGTTGTCTTAACATACGAAATTGGAATGCAACTTGCGACAGTTCTTGGATTCTATGAAATCTAAGCATCGTATACTTCCTTTGAAGAGTTGCTTCAATTTGATCTTCAAAGTGATATTCAATGCCTAATCTTTGGATTGAGTCCACCATAGATAAACGTTCATCTGTACTTTGGCGAACAAATAAACGTTTGACTTCATCCAATGCTTTAGCATGTTTTATATGAAGAGCTTCCTAAATGAATAATAATTGAAAGAATATGATTAATTAGCTACAAAGTATTATGAAGCTTAGAAATGAATAGAAAATTGAATATTTCAAAAAAATGATCCATACCTTGGCTTTTACAGTTTTAGAAATATGAGTAAATTTGGTTTTATTGTGGAAACTACAATAGGCATGCATGGGTTCATATACCTTGAAAGCCAGAATAGTTGAGCTTTTGTTTGGAGAAATTTTGTGAATGTAAGGGAGAGAAAAAGCCATAGATTTGATTTGAACTAGTACTATAATGTCTTGGTCTGAGTATTAAATGTAGGTTTCATCCGATTTATAGAGCACTACTTGTTCGTGAGAAGCATCAGAGAAGCATGCAACAGAATATTTCACCAAACAATACCTTGTCGTGACACACAATTAAAATGTGGTGGAATTGATTTTACATTACATTAAAAATCTACAATACTTCTTACCCCAAACATGTTTTCCGAATGTTAATGTATGTCTGCAGTTGACTATGAAAAAACTCATTTAACAAATTTAAATTTCAAACTTATAATTTATAGTTTATTAACTCACCTCCAAAATGTATATTTTGTATAACAATTTTTCATGAGTTTATATTGCTTTTTTATTAGTTGACAGTATATTTTGATAAACTATTTTAAGTAGTTTTTAATTTATAACTTTTTTTAAATTTTATTTTCATTATTTTTATTTGAAATAATCAGTAATTATATATATATATATATATATATATATATATATATATATATATATATATATATATATATATATATATATATATATATATATATATATATATATATATATATATATATATATATATATATATGTCATTTTTTTTAGCCAAAGGAAGATTTGTATTAATTCCAAAATCATAAGAGAGCAGGCGATCACACGGATTCAATCCTCAAAAGGAGACAAAAGGAAGAAAAATATGAAATTAAAAAATCATCAACTTAGCTATATGTGTCCTAAGAGTGTGTTTGTTTCATGGATTAAAATTATATTCCTTGAAATGGTATTCCTATGATTATTATTCTTGGGAATATGTTAGTTGGTTAATTCTTGTTATTTAGTTATTTGAGCTTTTAGCATGTATTTGGGTCTGGGCTATTTTGCCTATATAAAGAGCCATTGTATTTGTAATAGCAGTGCAATAGCAACAATAACAACAAATCAGTTAGATAGTTAGTTACGCATAACTAACTCATCAATCTTTCTCTCTCTTCTTCTTCTTCTTCTTCTTCTTTTCACAAAATCATCTTTCTTGAATCCTTTGTTACAACAAATTGGTATAAAGAGCTTGTTTGCGATTCAGGAAGAATCTAATGACAAACGAATCAACAACATAAACACAGTTTCCAGTAAATCTACCGGTTTTCAAAGGTGAAAACTATCAACGATGGGTGGCACAAATGAAGGTTATTTTCAGATTTCAAGATGTTGTGGTAATCTTGAATGATGGAATATCACAGCTGGATGTAGATACTACGAAAGCCCAAAAAGATGCGCACAAAGATCAGAGAAAGAAAGATGGCAAGGCGCTGTTCTTGATTCACCAGTGTGTGGATTGTAACATATTTGAGAAGATAATTAAAGAAGAAACAACAAAAGGAGCTTGGAAAAAGCTGAAATCTTTGTATGGTGGAGATGATAAACTAAAGAAGGTGAAGTTATAGACATTGAGGAAGCAATATGAGATGCTTCAGATGAAAGAGGATGAATTTATTTCTGTATATTTCTCAAGAGTTGTGACGCTAACAAACCAGATGAAGGCGTGTGTTGAAACGCTAACGGGTATGCAAAAGATAGAAAAGGTATTGAGATCTTTAATTGCAGACTTTGATTACTTTTTTTGTAACAATTGAAGAGGCCAAGAATCTATTTGAGATAAAGTTGGAAGAAATTCAAGCTTCATTAGAGGCTCACGAAATGACGTTGCAGCAGAGAAACTCAAAAAGAGAGAAGACAACTGAACAAGCATTGCAATCAAGATTCGAAAAGAAAGCTGGAAAAGAGAAGTCGAAGCAGCGAAAGAATCTTGATGGTGATGAAAAGTCAAGCAAGAATACTGATTCAAAAGGTGTGGGCAACAAGTATTCTAGGAAGAAAGTTGACACGAAATAGGTGCAATGTTACAATTGTCAAGGTTTTTGCCATTATGCTAGAGACTGTCGAAGAAAGAAAGCTGCAAGGTCGAAATATAGTGATGAAGCTCAGTATGCACGAGCTGGAGATAGTGATTCTGATGATGTGTTGTTGCTGGTGAACACTCAGTCAACTACTGAGAAAAACAACATGTGGTATATGGATTCAGGATGTAGCAACCACATGACTGGCAATAAAAATTTGTTTACCAAGTTAGATGAGTCAGTCGAAAAGATGATAAAGTTTGCAGATGGCAAGCATATCAAGTCAGGTGGTAAAGAAGATATTTTGATTATCAGAAAGGATGGTCGAAAGGCTACTATCACTGAAGTTCTATATGTACCTTCGATGACAAGTAACTTGATAAATGTAGGTCAATTACTTGCAAAAGGCTTCAATATGAAGTTGGAGAATAATCAGATGAAGGTATATAGGGCTGGTGGGAGGCTAATAATGAAAGGACCATTGGCGGAGAACAAAATGTTCAAGGTTGAACTCAACACATCAGATCATAAATGTCTTGCTTCAACTATTGAAGAAGACAAGAACTGGATATGGCATCACTGGTATGGACATCTAAACTTCAAGAGTTTATGTATGCTCAATAAGAAAGGAATGGTGCTTGGGTTGCCGTATGTGAAGGAACCAAAGCAGATATGTGAGGAATGCTGCAAAGCCAAACAAGCAAGGGAGGCGTTCAAACATGATTTTCCTATAAGATCAAGGAAAAAACTAGAGTTGGTTCATTCAGATGTGTGTGGACCCTTTGAAATAAAGTCAAATGGAGGTAATAGGTATTTCCTTAAATTCATTGATGAATTCACCAGACATGTGTGGATTTACCTTATTGAAAGGAAGAGTGAGGTATTCACACAGTTCAAGAAGTTCAAGTTGCATGCTGAGAAACAATGTGGCTACAAATTGAAGAAGTTAAGAATTGATGGTGGTGGTGAATATACTTCTGCTGAATTTGCTAGATTTTGCAATGAGGAAGGTATAGATCATGAGGTTATTGCATCCTATACGCCTCAAAATAATGGCATAGCTAACAGAAAGAATAGAAGTGTATTGAACATGATAAGATGTATGTTGAAAGCTAAGAATATGCCTAAGAGATTTTAGGCTTAAGCAACTTTGACAGCAGTATATATTCTAAATAAATGCCCAGCAAAGAAGATGGTCGAAAAGACACCACATGAGGCTTGGACAGGGTCGAAGCCAAATGTAAGTCATCTTAAAATTTTTGGATCAATGTGTTTCAGGCATGTACCTGGACAATTGAGAAATAAGTTGGATAATCGAAGTGAAGTCATGGTGCTCATAGGTTATCATTCGTCTGGAGCATACAAGTTGTATTCACCAATTGAAGATAAACTAGTGATCAGTAGAGATGTTCTTGTAGACGAAAGCAAAGGATAGGATTGGATTCGAAGTTCAGTTCGACATGAATCAGACACAGTCACAATTATGTTTGAAGAAGATGAAGAGAACGAAGCTTCGACAAGTCGAAATGAAGAACCACCTGCGCAAAATGAAAGAAGATCCACAAGAATAAGAGCTGAGTCGACCAGGCTAATTGGATATGAGAGGTTTCTAGATCAATCAATCGATGCAGATGGTGACTTAATCGAAGAAGCCACGATGATGGCTGAAGCAGAACCAATTGATTTGGGTGAAGCCTTGAGCAATTCGAATTGGTGTGAAGCCATGAAAGAAGAAATTAGAGCCATTGAGAAGAACAAGACTTGGGAGCTTGTCAAAAGAACCAACAAGAAACCGATCGATGTGAAATGGATCTACAAGGTGAAATGAAGGTCAAATGGTGAGATTTCAAAGTATAAGGAAAGACTGGTGGCCAAAGGTTTTCTATAAAAACCTGGTATTGACTTCAATGAAGTATATGCGCCTGTTGCAAAGATCAAAAGAATCAGGATTGTTGTTTCGATAGCTGCATGTAGAGGATGGAAAATGCACAAACTTGATATGAAGTCAGCATTTTTGAATGGACCATTGGTTGAAGAAGTCTATGTTAACCAACCACCAAGTTTCGACGTCAAAGGGCAGGATTCAAAAATTTACAGATTAAGAAAGGCTATTTATAGCTTGAAGCAAGCTCCTAGAGCTTAGAATAAAAGGATAGATAGCTTCCTAATCGAAGCAGGTTTCACAAAGTGTGTCTATGAACATGAATTATATGGAAATGATGTCGAAAGTGTCAATCGAATCATTTTATGCCTCTATGTTGATGACTTACTCATCACAGGAGCAGACGAAGCTGAGATAATGATGGTAAAGTCGAAGTTAATGTAGGAATTCAAAATGTCTGATTTAGGGAATCTCTCTTACTTCCTGGGAATGGAATTCAAAGACATCGAAGAAGGAGTTTTCTTGCATCAAACGAAGTATGCTCAACATATACTGAAGAGGTTCAATATGAGCAACTGTAAGGCATCTGTTACTCCATTAGAGACTAGAGCAATGTTGAAAAAGGAATCGAATGATGAGTTTGTAAGTTCGACCATTTACAAACAAATCATTGGATCCTTGAGGTATCTTTGCAATACTAGACCAGATATCTTCCAAAGTGTAGGATTATTGAGCAGATTTATGGAGAAGCCTCAAGAATGTCATCTCATCGCAGTGAAGAGGGTGTTGAGATACATAAAGGGAACTATTGATCATGGTGTGTTGTTACCAAAGAAGTCGAAGAGCAGCTCAAATGTTGAAGTTCATTGATACACTGACTTAGACTTCAGTGGAAATCAAGACGAAAAGAAGAGTATTGCAGGCTACATTTTCATGATCGAAGGAGCTTCAATCTCATGGAGTTCGAGGAAGCAAAGCATTGTGGCTTTCTCATCATGCAAAGCAGAATATGTGGCTGCATCATATGCTGCATGCCAAGAAGTATGGATCGAAATGCTACTTGAGGAACTCAGAATAATGGAGTCGAAGATGAAGTTGTTTGTTGATGACAAGTCAGCTATAAACCTTGCGAATCACCTAGTGTGTCATGGTCGAAGTAAGCACATTGAAAGAAGGTGTCATTTTCTAAGGGATCAAGTCAATAAAGAGAAGCTTGAAATAAAACA